GCTGTTTCTTAATTGTGTAACACTCTGATCCATAAAGGTCTATGAGATTGTCTTTTAACTTCATGGATAGCCTATGATCACAGAGTATTAGGAAGCGCAAGCACTTTTCCACCTTGACCTTCCTGCTTATCCTAAAAACAACATCCTTCTTAATCTCACCTTCATGATGAATGATTTATCTTAGTGAATATACTCACATATTCTTGGCCATAAAATGAATCATTATGGACTACAACCTTGTTTTCGTACGTCTAACATAAATGGCTCTACATCATCACGTGCTGAAACATTTACTTTTAGCTTTTAGAAGTATTCCCTTTATTTATCACAAACAATTGCGGCTTAATCCTTTCTTTACTCTATTAGAAATTCCGTGTGTGGTGTAAGCTTCCAGATGGCAGATGGAAGCTGGGGACTGTAAAATCTGTCAAAGGGGAGGATGTTAATATTTTACTTACTGATGGCAAGGTGAAATCTCTAGTTGATCTAACTGTATTTCTTGTTATTTTCTGCAACGCACTTACATTGTCTCAATGTTCAGGTTTTGCTCGTCTCCATTGAAAATGTCTTGCCGGCAAATCCAGATATTTGTGATGATGTGGATGATCTAGTACAGCTTGGTTACATAAACGAACCTTCTGTTCTCCACAGTCTAAAACACAGATATTCCCGTGATATGATTTATGTAAATTTACCTTATTGAATTTGAGGCATTACAACATTTGTTCCATTCTCTTTTAATATGCTTATAATAATGCTGAGTCTTTTTTTTATTTAATTTTTTTTTTCTATAGACAAAAGCTGGTGAGATTTTAGTTGCAATTAACCCCTTCCGGAAGGTGCCTCTTTATGGAAACAGCTCCATTGCAGCTTATAATGAAAAATCTATCACCACGTCACATGTATATGCAGTAGCTGATTCTGCATTCAGAAAAATGATGAAAGGTAACTATATATGTTGCTTGGAGGCGGGAATTTTCTTCTTTCCGAAATAATTGCTTTGAGTCTGTTTTTATCATTTAGTTTTTCTTTGGGTTTACCAGTTGCTCTACCTTCTCTATTACCTCATATAATTTTTTGAAGTAGGAACCTTTTTTTTAATATTTATTCATTTTCCCAAATTGTGGTTTCTGCAGATGGAGCAAACCAGTCGATTATTATCAGGTAAATCATAGCATTTCTCTTCTAAGATATGGATCCTGTTTTTTAGGCTTTATTATTATTCTATTCATTTTTTATGTATATGGTTCCTAGGTAACATTGTTGACGGAATTTCCACATGTGACTTGCGTCGCAGTGGTGAAAGCGGATCGGGGAAAACCGAAACTGCAAAAATTGCAATGCAGTTCTTGGCTGCTCTTGGGGGTGGCAGTGGAATAGAGCGTGAAGTACTGCAGAGTAATATTATTTTGGAAGCATTTGGAAATGCAAAAACTTCAATAAATGATAACTCTAGCCGATTCGTGAGTCTTTTCTGCATCATTTCCTATGACTGTTGGAAACTTCTGTCTTCTTGCATACACATAAATATTATGCAGCTGTTTGATTTTCTTTAGTTCTGATTACTGAATATAACTCCTTTCTTTCCTACAACTTATGCAGGGGAAGCTCATTGAAATACAGTTTCTGGGTGGAAAATTTTGTGGTTCTAGGATTCAGACCTGTAAGCATGTTTAGTGGCTAAGCTGTTCTCTGTAGACTTTGAATTACTGTCAAACTATTTCATTTGTCTGACTTTCTCAGTTCCTTTGTTGCTCATAAAACTTTGAACCCATTGGTTAGTTTTGCTGGAAAAGGTAATTTCACCATGACTAGACTTCTTTAAGCATGCTTTTAGCAATTTTCTAAAGAATGTTATCATTTGTATTATCAGTCAAGGGTAGTTGGGAGAGCCAAAGGGGAACGATCATATCATGTTTTCTATCAGCTTTGTGCAGGAGCTCCTGCCCTACTTAAAGGTAAGATGGTATGTTTTCCATTTTTTGGTATTAAAGTTGAATCATGCAGTTTCATGCATTCATGGAAGTTCTCCGCTTACACTTCTAGCTAATGATTAACTTTGCAACCTTGCTTTAGCCAATTGAGGTGTGCCGCTTGAGTCATCCTCATGGATTTATTAATCCTTCTTATTCAGCCAATGCTGGAATCAAAACAAGCTTACTTTTGCTCTCTTTTAACTAATATTTTTTTCATACAATTAGTTATATCACCTTTTTTATGATGGATGTGTTGGAACTAATAGTTCCAAATTCTGCACAAAATTTCACCTTTTGGTCTCTTCACCAGGCAAGCCTTTTGTTCAAGAACTAAAAAAAATAGTAAACAAATTGTCAAGAAAACTATTTTAGGAGGTTAGACTAAATAGAAAATTGAAAAGCCTTTTATACATCTTTTAGGCCATGTGGTTTTTTTTTAAAAAAAAAGAAAAGTTTAATGTTATTTTCACTCATAAACAGTCATACACTTCAGGTGTAATAAAGGTACCATTGAAATGCCTGCTAAAATTTTCTTCTATTTAGTTATGAGTTTCGCTTGCTTCCATTTTATTGTTAAGCATGTTTTCCTTCTGGATATGGTAAATGGATATAAGCTAATGACAGATACTTCATTGGCTACTGCATTTTACTCAAGATTTATGTAACTTGCAGAGAAACTGAATCTGAAAGCAGCCCATGAGTATCAATATTTGAAGCAGAGTGAATGTGTGATAACCGACAACATAGATGATGCTAAAAGATTTCATGAGCTGATGGTATTCTGAGCTACTGCTTCAAAGGACATTGTTGAATATCTTTTTGTGGCACTTAATGATGTTTTCTCCTCTCACCTTTCCCCTGTTGTCCTTGCTCAGGAAGCCTTGAACATTATCCAAATAAGCAATGAAAAGCAACATAATGCCTTTGCGATGCTTGCAGCAGTGTTATGGCTTGGTAACATTGAATTTTTAGTGATTGACAATGAGGACCATGTGGAAGTAATCTCAAATGAAGGTATTCGTTTTATTTATTAATTTGTAGCATTTGCTTAATGCTCTGCATGTTTGTGTGCTTGTATTTTTCTGTTTGGTGGGTCGGGTCGCATGAGTGCACATATACAAAGTCTGTGCTTGCATAAGATGAACAGTTTGAAGTTTTCATATTTGAAAGTTTTGATACTGCGTCACTTCTGTTATATTTCCAAAATCTGTTAAACCAGGGGTGTCTGTGTTAGAAAATCGTGCTAATTACATGCAAAATACACAACGGAAGACTGTATGTATAATAATACTAAGCATGAAGAGAGCATGAAATACAAGCTAGGACCATTCTAATTAAATCGAATATGATCCCTATAATAAAGAGAGCAACTTTGAGCTTCGAAGGCTTACTTTCGTAGCGTGATTTGATGGTAGATCAAACAACCCCTAGCTCGTTCTCTTTGTTGTTATAAACCTCCTTGTAGTAGTGGATCTCCAAGTCTTCAAGTAAGCTTGATAAAATAGGAGTCTTCTTGAGATACAAGGCAAGATATCCACCCCGGGTACTTTAAAATCCTATTACTTCCTCTTATTCAAAGATTACTAGAATTTAGTAAGAGGTAGAAATCTCTTTTATTCTCTTATGAAAAAAACCACTTAGCCAATTTTTCATTAACCTCTCCATAAAAGAGAGAGCTCATATATATAGAGTGAAATATGTCATGACTCATCTCATGAGTCATGCCATGAGTCATCTTAATGTAATGATTCCTTTCATGAGTCATATATGTCATGACTCATCTCATGAGTCATGCCATGAGTCATCTTAATGTAATGATTCCTTTCATGAGTCATGCAATGACTCATCTCATGAGTCATGCAAAGAGTCATGAAGAATCAAAACTATGTGCTAAAACTATGTTCCCAAATCATACCACCTTAATGACTCATTTCGACTCATTAATCAAGGTATAATGAAGTGTGTATTTCATAAATAAAAATACCACATCAATACGGTGTTTCATAAATACAGTATTGCGTAATTTTTCAATCATTAATTAATAAGTTATCATATGACCCAAAAAATCAATTAGTTGACCAAAAAGTCAACCAGTTGACTAAAAGTTAACTTCATGAGAAAAATACTGGAATTTATTTTTTAAGCACATAGCATTCTGATTTTACTGATACTTATAATCGTTTATGTGTATCCGGTGAAAATCATATATGTGTATCAATCATACGCATTTAACTCTATAAATTGTATTTCATATGATTCAAGTACGCGCTTAGTGTGACTCTAGGGCCCAACTTAAGACTCGGCAGTGGATCATATCCACAAGTACAACAGAGGTGCTAGCTACACATGAAGACTACTCGGGTATAAGTTATGATAAATATCTGCAAGATGCTTATATAATTTTATGAGGACCACTCAGTAATAATATTGTATAGTTTAGTCTCTTCGTTAAACAATGTCAAACTATCGAGCCTAGGGTATGAAAAACTGTCAGACCCTAATAGCTTGATTAGTGTTTGTTGATATTAAACTCGTAACCTTTAAGATCAAACTGATACTTAGTTTATCTTATTTACCTTGGTCAAGGATTTTCAGACTATAGTTATATCAAACAATCTTATGACATCAACCCCCTATATTAGGAGAGACGAATCCCATCTTGGCATCTTAATATCTACATATGTCTCAGGATGCACCCAACAAGAACCGTTATGTACAACTCAATGTGAACTGTGGTTAGGTAAAAGTCTAAGTATACCTATACTGACATATAAGATATTACACTCATGTTTCAGGTCAAGAGACTACTTTCTACTATATCACTTGAGAACTTCTGTTTGACAGTTAAGTATAATTACTAACTAGACGTTCTCAGCGAGTCATTCAGTCAACTCATTCACTAATGAGTCACCTGTATACTATATCTTGATGTCTCACATCAATGATCCAAGAGATGGATCATCATCCTACCAAAGGAAAATTAGAGTATACACTAGTCTTCCCAAAATGATGATGTCCCATTTCTACACTTCATCGATTAAGAACATTTTAGAATATACGATAGCGACAAATCAGATATCTTCATTACGATCATATCCGAAATAAGACTTTATCTATATTAAAATACCAGATAAATATAACCAAAATAGCATACTATTATTTTAAACAATGATGTTATATTCATATAGGTTCTGTTATAATATACAATATTGTCTGTAGGGCACCTGTATCTAACAAACTCCTACTTACACTAAGGTCAATCATTGTAGTATCTAATACCCAATAGCTCAATAAGTTTTTAAAATTATGTACGAGCGATTGTCTTTGTGAATGGATCTGCTATATTATCTTTTGTGTCTACTCTTTCAATCTTGATCTCTTGGCGATCAACTATATCCCTGATCAAGTGATACTTTCTCAGAATGTGTCTGGACTTAAGGTGAGACCGGGGTTCCTTTGTCAGAGCTATTGTAGTATTACTATCACAATATAAAAGTACTGGATCTTTAATGATGGGAATAATTTTTAACTCTGAAAGGAACTTCCTCATCCAAACAGCTTCTTTGGCTGCATCATTTGTCGTAATGTATTCGGCTTTCATAATAGAGTCTGCTACTATGTCCTGCTTGGAATTTTTCCAACTGACAACCCTTCTATTGAGGATAAAAACATATCATGAAACATATTTACTATCATCGATATCGTTCTGAAAGCTAGAGTCGGAAAAAGTCTTCATTTGGAGGTTACTTTTACCGTATATCAAAAATAACTCTTTAGTCCTTTTCAGGTACTTAAGTATATTTTTGACCGTTTTTCGGTGCTCTTCTCCATGATTAGATTGATATCTACTTACCAAACTGAGTGAATAAGCGATATCCGGTCTAGTACATAACATGACGTACATGATCGATCTTACTACTGATGCATAAGGAATTAGACTCATGAGTTTCCTCTCTTCATCAGTCTGGGGAGACATCTTTTTAGAGAGGGAGATTCCAGGAGATGCAGGTACGAAACATTTCTTGGAAATTTTCATGCTAAACCGCTTTAGCACTTTGTCAATGTATCTAGATTGAGATAATCCTAATATCCTTTTAGATCTATCTCTATAGATCTGAATACCAGTATACATGATACTTTACCCAAATCTTTCACGAAAAATCTTTTTGATAGCCAAATTTTAACCGTTTGTAATGAAGGTATGTTATTACCAATTAAGAGTATATCGTCTACATACAAAATAAGAAACGATACTATACTCACAATTATCCTTTTATACACACATGGTTCATCTGTATTTTGAATGAAACCAAACTCTTTGATAGCATCATCAAAACAGATGTTTCATCTTTGCAATGCTTTAGTCCATAAATGACTTTAAGCAACCTACATGCTTTTTCATTGCTCCCACTAACTACAAATTCCTCTGGTTAAGACATTTATGCACTCTTCTAAATTACCATTTAGAAATACAGTTTTGACGTTCATTTGTCAGATCTCGTAGTCATAGTGAGCAGCTATAGCAAGTAGCTAGGATCCGAATAAACTTTAGCATAACCACTGAAAAAAAGGTTTCATCGTAGTTCAAACCAGATCTTTGACGAAAATCTTTAGCTACCAGTCTAGCTTCAAAAGTCTACTTTCCCATCTACACCCATTTTTTTCTTAAACAACCATTTGCAACCTATGAGTATCACCTTTTTAGGAGAATTATCTAAGATTCATACTTTGTTAGTGTACATAGAGTCTATTTCGGATTTTATTGTATCATGCCAAACAACAGAGTCCCTACTCTGAGAGGCTTGCTGATAACTCAAAGGTTCGTCATCATCTATAATGTGATCTAACATGCTATCTTCAACGAGAAAATCATATTGTCTCTTAAGTGCATGAGATCGCCTTGGATATCTGCGGAGTGGTTGAGATTCTTCTAGTATAATTGAATTTTCTGGTTCTACTAAATTATCAATATTGTTTTGTATCTCTGAAATTTCATCCAGTTCTACCATGCTCCCACTAATTTTTTTTTAAGAAATTCCTTCTCTAAGAAGGTAGCATACCGAGAAACAATTATCTTTTGTTCATCGATGTCGTAGAATTGATATTCATAAAAATTCCTTGGATATCCTACAAATTTACACAATACTGAGTGTGCCTAACTTTTTTGGATCTTGCTTTTTTATATAAGCATGACATCCCCAAATTTTAATATAATTAAGATGTGGTTTCATCCCATACCATATCTCATATGGAGGTTTATGCACTGTTTTAGTAGAAACCCTATTCAGTAAGTGTGCTACTGTTTCCAACGCATACCCCCAGAATAAAAAAGGTAACTCAACATTACTCATCATGGAACATATCATATCTAATAGGATACGATTCCTTCTTTCTGACACGCCGTTAAGCCGTGGTGTAAAGAATGGAGTAACCTGAGAGAGAATCTCATTCTTTTTTAAAAACCCTAAGAATTCTGAGCTCAAGTATTCGCCTCCTTGATCCGATCGGAGAATTTTAACTTTCTTGCTTGTTTGATTTTTTTTTACTTTATTTTTATACTCGATAAATTTCTCAAACGCTTCAGACTTGTGTTTCATCAAAAACACATGTCCGAATCTTAAAAAATCATCAGTAAAAGTAATAAAGTAGGAGTAGCCACCTCTTGTCATTGTAGACATAGGATCATATACATCACTATGTATCAGTCCTAAGAGTTCTGTAACTCTTGCTCCAGTTCTCGTAAATGGAGTCTTGGTCATTTTACCTTTAAGACAAGACTTGCAAGTATCATAAGACTTAAAGTCAAATGAATCTAAATATTCATGCTTATGTAGCTTGTCAAGTCTTTCTATATTTATGTGATCAAGTCTACAATGCCATAAAAGAATGTCATTCATAACTGATTGCTTTCTTTTATTAGTGTGATGAGTATTCAGAATTGTGTTTTGATTAAGAATATAGATGCCATTACACAATGTTTCATAAGCAATCAACTTTTGATTATATATGATATT